TATGTGAGTAAATTAGTGGTTTTTTGTGTTTAATGCGCGCTACAGACGGCATTTAAATTATTTAATTTTAAAAAATTAATTTTGTTTCATAATTTATATAAAGCATTTTTATTTTTTTAATTTTTTTAGAATGCATTGACAACTTATTTTTATGATTTATTTTTAAAGTACCATTTCATTATTTTTTTGAAAATTTTTTTTTATACCTAAGCACAATAGAAAATATTAAAGCTAAGATAAATTTATTAATTTTTAGTTTAATTTTAATAACTAAAAAAAAAATAAAATGATTATGAAATAATAAAACTTTCTTTTAAGATGTGTTTTGAACCAGGGACTTTTATATTTGATGTTTAACCTTTAAGTGACTATAACGATTGCCCTTTTTATTTCACTGCAATGTTTTTACATTACTTCGACATTCAGACTATTTTGTTTTTATTATTTTTTTCAATACAAACTTTTGATAAACTTGCTAAAAAGTTGTGATGACAATTAATTAAATATTTGACAAGTACAATAAATTAATTATTGATATATAAAATTATTAAAAAATAATTAAAAAGAACAAGCACTCACTCATGCCCCTACTTACACACATCAATTAACGTGGGGAAAATTATGTAGAATACATAGAAATGAAATAAAATTGAAATAAAAAAAAACAAAAATAACATACCTTTTTGTCAGTGGCGTAACTACAGGGAAGCAACTGGAAGCAACGCTTTCGGGCCCCCGAATTTTTGGGGCCCCACCATAAGTTTTTGTATTCATTGTATTTATTTTTAATAAATTCTCAAAAGTGGGACGAAACGTTTTTTGTTGGAATAATTTCATATTGTATTTTATAAAAGAAACGTAAATTTTAAATTTAAAGTATATAATATGTAAGTACTTCAAATAAAATATTAAACCTATTTATAAAATAAAAAAGTTTTTCTAAGAAAAATATGTGTCTTAATCGAGAGTTTATATGGAAGCTATATCTAGATTTAAACCCATTTGAAAATAATATTGTATGTACGTTGTCTTTTGCAAATATCAGTACTGTATACACCAAATTCCATTTGATACCTTTATTAAAAAAGGAGAAACCTCATATCCGATTGTTAAGTTTATATCACAGTTACAAGAAATAGACGTCCAATTTCAATCAAATCAAATGGTGAACAAAAGTTTCATTCGAAGAGTTCAAAAGCTGAGAGAGTAGTTTGAACTGAAAAAGTATATATATATTGTACTGATATATACTTAATGGTATTTCCGACGTTTCCTTTAATGCTTTACGAAAATCTTGACAAACCTTATATATCCTTTTCATATTTTTTTCGTGTAAAGAGTATAAAAATAGGGGCCCCTTAATATGTTGGTAGGGGCCCCTTAGGTAGAATTTGCTTACAGGCCTAAAAAATGTAGTTACGCCACTGCTTTTTGTGTTGGATAAATGCACTGAATTAATTTGTTAATAAAATCGTTTAGATTATGAATAATTTCTTATTATATTATCATAAAAAATAAATGAAGTTTAATAAGTCCAAATTACATGTTAATAATTTTTTTTTTAAATAGCACTTTCACTTTTATTTACACAATAACTTTTGACGCTGACTCTAACCATTGAGTAAAAATATTATTTACTCAATGCTCTAACAGAAGAAGGAACTTTTTGAGTTCATTTTCCTCCCTTTTTCGTATGTGATCGTTCCAAAAACAGTTCTGATGCGGCTCTGCCAACTGCGCTGTAACTGCATTTTGTATTTTGTTGTTTTTATTTTGAACGCCATATTAACTACAGCATTTATTTGTTGCGTAAATCGTTTTTCGCTAATTTTATTTGTTTTATATTTCTAAATATTTAAATTTTTATATTAACAGCAAATTTCGTTTTAAAATTAAAAACTTTTTAGAGTATAATTACTATATATTATTATATAAATAAGATATTTGTTTTAAACCACAAAGAATTGTTCATTATACTTTTTAATTCTTGTATGGTATACTCCGTGTATTAAAAGTGAATATTAAAGTACGCTTAACACTTATAAACAATATTAGTTAATTATATATTCCCTTAAAATATTTATTTAGGTATAAAATAATTTAAGTTACCATTTTTTGTTACTTTTAAATAAATGAACTTCACACACCGAAATTATGAAAACAACTGTTCCTTTCAAAAACCAACCGTTCAAAGCGGAGTCTTAAACCGTACTAATCTCAAAGTGTTTCATTATTTTTGAAACTTTATTACGCTGGTTAACGGTTTATTCCTGCTTATTGTGAATGAACTGCTTTATCGGCATCGCATATTTTAATTCAACATTTCATTTCATATATAGCACATGAAATAAAATTTGCAATGTTATTAGTTGTTTTTTGTTTTCGTGAATAAGGTTTTATCAAAGAGTATATACACATAGAGTGTGCATGTCGAACAAAATATCAGTCACAAAAATTTTGTTCTACTGGTTTTTTAAAAACCCAGGAATTACTCAATATTTGAGTCCTTTTACTATATGTGTGCAAAGAGACTGCATTTTCATTGATATATGCACATTATCACACTCAACCGCTCTGTTGGTTATAAATATGCTCTTTTGGATATAAAAACATATGTATATATATATATGCATTTTATATTATGATCGTTTTCTTTAATTTGTATGTATATTTAAATATGTTTATATTTCGTTTATTAAACTATTTTGTATGTTTTGTTCTTTGTTATTTTACTAATACTTGCAATATTACAATTTAATTTAATTCTAAGAAAATGTAAAATATGTACTTATATAATATTCGCTAATTTGACACTTGCTTAACCTTATTAATTCTAAGAATATAATCGTCTATTTTACAATGTTTGGTTATTTAATAATACAAATTATTTTAATAATATTCTTATGCTTAACATTCAAAAAAAATATAAATTCACTATATATTTTTATGACTAAATTCTGGCTAAGTTCTTTTACATTATTGTTAACAAGAGTTGTATTAATTGATCTTATATTAAGTGCTAACTTGAATTGTAGAGCTAATATATTTCATATTCATTTTAGAAATGTTTATTGATTTTAGACTTCTCTAAGGCCCACAAGCAATGCTTACGAAGTAAAAGCAGATTTAAAAAATCAAGAAGCTGGATTAGATGTTCATTACAGGGCCCATTAAACCACTGAGGGGTTTTTTTCTTGCACATTTTTATTATTAAACTTTTAATGCCAATTGCATCTGGTTTATTTTTGAAAACATTTTTAAAAACCTTGACATGTTTACAAGAAACATTGAAAAAACTTTCTGATGGCACAAACAGGTTACCGAAATTTGAAAGAGAATTATAATTTTTATAGTAGATGAAAAGCTCACTTGGAGCAGTCAAAATTTCATCCCTTTTTTTAAGTTTATATTGCAAGCTTCACTATTTAGTTTTAAAAGTATTTTTTTAGCTACGTACCCTATTGTGTATCTTAAAGACAATAAATTAATATTTATGTTCTTTGAATTGGAAAATGCATCTGATATAATGCAATTTTCGATGTCATTGCACTCTAGATCAGAGTAGGCTTCTACTGCACAGTTACTAGACACCCTAGAGTTATTTTAATCGAGTTCTATCAAAGAAGAAGAAAGCACATCATCAAGGCACTTGTTATCATTATCCTCACTTATTTCACAATTGGCTAAATTAAAACACTTTTAAAATTTAAATTGCTATTGCTGACGTGTTTTGACTTTCTTAGCGTATGTATATGATATTAATAACTGAATTTATAAATTATAAGTCACCATTTATATATGGTACAATTTTTTACCTAGATATGTTGTTTTTTAAAAACCTTTACAATAAATAATAAGCAAAAAAATAAAAATAACTTAATAATAAAAAACAATAAACTATTAAAATTAAAAACAAAACCGCAATAAAAGAAGGATTAGCGGGGTGGTCTATAGCTCAACAAGAACAGATAGTTTGCACTTATATTATCATAGTCGTCATCGTAAGCAATATTTATAATAGAATAACTGTCCTTATATTATTACTTATTGAATTTTTTGTTAAACTTTATGAAGTTTACTGAAGTTCATATTTTGCATAATTATTCTGTAATATCTGAGATCTGAAATATATACAAAACATAGACTGGGAACAGCAAACTTTTGTGATCCTTTAACATTAGGCTATTAGTGGAAAAAATTTTATGGAAAACTTGTATACATTTTTTGGGTATCGCAGATTGTAGTGAAAAAAGTCGTAAAAACACGGGGGATTTTTGCAAATTTTCAATTTTAATTTTACTGTTATTAAAATTGAAACATGTTTTTATTTAAAAATAGTAATAATATCCTAATCTGTAAAAAATATAAAAAATGATAATTTTTCAATTAGTAGATAAAAAATTATATGGGTTCAAATTTCGCCAAAATTGTACGAAATCTCAATTTCCCCAAAATTTCATAAAATTGCGAATAACATACAATGATTTACAAAATATACTGTGCTGTTTACTTCTATACCAATGTTTCAGTTAAACTTGAAAATAAAAATTTCGGTTTTACAGAAAATTCTATATTGAAGAAAAAAAATGGATTGTGAATAAAAAATAAGTTTTTTGGTATTTTTGCAGACATTTATTGCTTTGATATTTTCATAAGTTGCTCTTCTTGATTTCTCAATTGTTAAATGCACCTTTCTACATAAAAATACCAACAACTGTAGTTCAGAGCGCAGAAAAGCAATACAAATTTCTTTAAAACTCATTAAGTATAAAATGCTTTAACACTCCAAACTCTCCCGCATGTTAATGCTGAAAAATTAAAAATTGAGTCACAACGAGTCCATGTGGCACAAAAATAACTCAAATACTATTTCCCCGATTTCTGCGACCGATTTT